GGGCCCTATCTCCCCCCTTTTTGCGGAGGGGGGACTTTCTTGGGGGGGGGGGGGGGGGGGGGGGGGTTGCCACCAATATTGAAGCGGAGCCTGCAATCTTAGTTTCATTTGATGCAAGGAGCCTCTCAAGTGCTAAATCATATATAGCTGACAATCCTAAAACCTTGGAGGCCTCTGGGTCAAAGTAGGAACACTAATCCAAATGTCTCCAAAATGTCTCATCCAATACCCAGCTCCTAATTAAAAGCGCTTCCAGGACCTTGGTCCTGCTGAGAAGCTGAGAAGCTTTGTGAGCGGTGAGCGAAGAAGTGACTCATCTGAAGCATTCCTTCCTCTGCCCTGCATGTTCAAAACCATGCGTCTGATGTTAGTAATCCAAAGCCTGGTTCTCCATTACTTAGCACCTTCTGCACTACCTTTGTAAAACAATTGCAAGAAGCACAACACAATGGGAAATTCAGCTGTCCGTCTCCATCTTGGATGGATTGCACAAGTGCTGAAGATCCTGCAACTCACACCGAGCTCACTAGGAACTGCAACCTTTCAGCACCCCTGTAATTCCTTTAGATGGGTGCTTGATGCATTTCTAAGCAAATTCTTCAACTCTTTCCAATAAGATTTAACAGCAACAGATCAGGTACATCCTATTCAGAGATCAGAGAATAGTTTTGCATTGCAGGCAGAAGGAAAAAGGTGTTCTACTTTCCATACTGCATTAAGTAGCTGGGGGAAAAAATACAAATATTGCATACAATATCCAAGCTAACTCTCTAGTTTCAGGAACACTGAAGATGTTGACAGTCACTCTCAATTAATATACACAAATGAAAAGCTACTCCTAAAACATAATCCCCTAAGTGCAGTCCCAGTTTTAAACTACATTTCTTACAGCTTATTCTCCAAAAAGCAAGTCCTTTAAAAACAAATGTTAAGCAAGATGTCCAATTAATTTTAAGGAAGGTGAGCAATATGCAGTAGCTGATTTAAATTTCAAATTAAAAATGCCTGACCACAATTTCAAACGAGACATTTTACACCAGCCTCCCCACCCCCCAGACAATTATTTTCCATGGTCCCCCCCGCCAGCACGCAAACACAAAGACTTGTTTAAAGACACAAAATACAGTTTGCCTCCATATGAAACATGCAGGCTTTAATCTCGCCAGTTGGAATCTGGCAACCTCCCATGGCTACAGTTCAACAAAGCAACAATTCTATGAAAAACCCGCAGGATACTAAATATGTAGCTGTAAGTTGTCATATTCCTTGGTTCTATAAGGAATAATATTTTGGACAGGTGCAAAGTCCATAAAAACATTACCAGGGAGAAAGGCTTTGGGGAGGACTCATGGTTTAGGACTAAGAGAAATGACTAGAGACACCTAACGCACAGGTCAAACGGAACGGTACCAGCCCACAACACCGGTCTTGCGATGCCTTACTCACCCCTTCTCAACTGTGCTGTGGCCCCTAATACATGTGTGTTTGTAGACACGAGAGTATACTTCCGAGTCATGGTGAGCCACACAAGCTGAAAAGCAATGCAGGGGGCTATAAAGTTTTGGGAGACATTCCCTGAAGATGAACAGCTTTGCCTGTAGTCCCCCTTCTTCTTATGGTGCATTTCTGCTGTTGAGAGATTGATGCAAGTGTGATGGCATCAGCCGTGCATGGAAGCGGTAGGTTTGAGTCCATGAAGGAGGCACAGTCAAGACCAAGTTTATGTTGAAAACACGATGGTTGGGGGAGGACCTGGCTGGTTACGGAAAGGAAATGTGTATTATAGTTCCCTCTCCCCAGTCCATTGCAATACAAGAGTTTGCAAGCTATGCTGCCTCCCACAGCTTCCCGGGCCAGATTTATAAAATATGATGACAAGGTTTGCACTAAATAAGATACTGGACCTGGACTAACCTGGAGTTAGTCATCTTTTATCCACCAGATAGGGACAGCCTGGCCAAGGCAGCACAACCTTCCTTCCCACCGCTCCACTAAGGTGCTTCAGGTCTGGACAGATGTGCCGAAGAGCAGGATTAGAGACCTACAACCCAGGCCCCACACAATTCTTAGCATTTCTTCTGAGGGGTCCTGCTACCAGACCAATGATAGGCTTATTTTATCATCTAGAAACCAGGTCTGAACTGAAAGCCATAAGCACGTCCACATTTTTTAGCCTTCCTCTGTAAGCATTGCAATTTTATTACTTTATTCTACTGTCTCTCCCAACTTTTAACATGCACTGCCAACTGGAAGAGCCAAAGAGAGGGAGGAACCTAGTGTCCCAGCATGTGAAAGAGAAGCCCTCACACCCTTCTGTTAAGAAAACGGGTTCAGCCCTTCAAATAGCTGGACGTGAGCAAATTATTATTCAACATAAGCCAAGGCTTTTTGACTCGATACATATTCTCTCCTGCCTGAAATGTCCAGAAAAAAAGCATCCCCTGGAACCAGGAGTATCCTTGATCTTCCCATCTTGAAGCGTTGCAGCACTTGCATAAATAGCAAGGTGCCTCCCAACATACTTTAGCCATTGGTAAATGGACTTGAACTGAGCATAGCTTTACTGGATTAATTTAATTATGCTGGAGTAGAACATTTCACAGGGCCAGCAATATCTTGAGTACTTGGATTTCCCTGCACCTTATGCCCCTGTTTGATTTCTTTGGCCATGCCCCAGCCAATTTTCTTGGTGGGAATCCTTGGGCTGTTTACACCCTGCTGCTCACCTCCTAGCCTATGTCGGGCCTTCCTCAGCCACCAGCGAGCAACAATCAGGACTCCCATATTACAGCCAGAAGTGAGCCAGGGAGTGGAATTTCATTTCAGGCAGGCAATGAGTGACTTTGGGTCCTTTGTCATTTTGTCCTACCTACTCCTACCCAAACCTTTCCTATTTAATCTTAAGAGAAGAACACAGGTGTCTTTACAGAATCGTGTGACTGAGCAAAGCAACAACTAAGAACCTTACTTTTGATTCCCACAACAACCTAATGCAAAGCTGGTAGGAAAATATATCGGGAACAAAACAACAGTCTAAACAGCTCTCTAATAGATTTAATCCATTATGTATGTTTTACACAAGTAGCTGATAGGAACGTGGTTAAAGCCCGCATTTCAGTGACTGGTCTTTTCACGGTAAGGTGGCATGATTTTTCTGCAGGGAGGCATGATTATGTCAAGGCACTTGGCAAAAGAGAGAGCAAAGATGCTATTATCACTAGAGTTATCATTACTTCTTCGCTTAACTGTATGTCTGTAATTTCCTTATTGCAGCTCCAGAGCTTGCTACTTTTATACTCGAGAAATGCATATGGTATTCAAAACTATTTGCATTTTGATGCTTTCCGGAGTAGAAGAAACCATAGAAGTAAAGAGCCCTCAGCTTGCTTGGCATTTAGCCACAGAAATAGGCATACAGTATATATTGTACAGGCATACCAGTTCCCCTGCATTCCCAGTTTAAAGAGTTAGTATATGTTTGTGAATAGAGCACTGGAAGAAGGTGATGCAGTAATGTGGAGGGGGGGTGGGGGGGAGAATCAGCAGTACAACTTTTAAGAGTGACCAAGTTTTAGCGATTATTGAGAAGTTGGATGAGATGTTCACAGAGATCATCTTACAAAAGGCGCGGAGGTAAGAGCGGGGAAACTTACACACTGATGTCTTCTGGTTATTGTCTTTGCTGGGCATTAGCTTCACTCCTCGGGACTTCAGCTCAATTTGCTTCTTGACTGGAGAAAGATTTGAAACAGAACAGGAAGATGGTTACGTGAGGGCTTTGCTACAGACTTTGATGCACCAGTTTTATACCTTCCATGCTTACACGGTGTGGCCTTTTGACTCCCAGCTACACTCAACAAATATAGAGATGAATAGGTGTAACAAGCTTATTCAATGCCTGGGGCTGGGGGGTGTCAATGTCTAGAGGGGGCCAAGGGTAGGGGAAGGGAAATCTTACCCACCCATGCTCTCTGCACATGGGACACAGCGGTTACTGCCACTGCCTCCACTGCTGCTGTAGGCCAGGCTGCCTTCCCTGTGCAGAGGCTGGCACAGCAGCAGCATGGCACGGGCCTCCCTGAGAGCTGCCCCTGGCACCCCTGTTTGTTCCCTGCACACCCCATATGCTACTGGGTGCAGGGTGGCTGTGTTACTCCTATGGCCAGGCTGGGGCAATACAGGGCTGCCCCTGCCATGGTAAAGACTCATGGGGGAAGGATTCTGGTGCCCCCTCATAGCCAGCGCCTGGGGTTGGTGCCCCGCTTGCCCCACCCTATTAGGCTACTAGATTTATGAGTTTGCTAGTGCCTGGCTGTTCAGGCACTTGGCCCTATAGTTCAAAGAGTAAAGAATCAATGGCTGAGACCAGTGGTTTTCAGCCCGTGGCCCGCAGGCCACATGCAACCCAATCAACACACTACAGTGGCCCATGTGTCATCCTGTTAAGTGGAAGTAAGTTGTGTGGGTGCAGCCCATATAATACACCGAGAGCTGCAAGTATGCCCCCCCATAGCAAACAGGTTGAGAACCACTGCCTTAGACCCTGAGATTTTAGATTAGTGGTCCCAGCTAGGGCCTCCCTGCCAAGTCTAAAAAAAATAGGGGCATTGCAAAGTGCTTCCGCTCTCATAAAGTGTATTTCAGTGCAACAAAAATGTGATTCGTAGAAGCCGTGCCCAATATGCATGACAATCACAGACAGGAGCCACAAGTTCAGTTTCTCACTACTGACTATTACTTATAACTCACACCAATCAGCATCTCTTTTACATGTCTGCATAGCTCCTCCCTCCTGAACAGGAATCTTTTAGGTGTTCCCATAAAGGAAGAGGGGAAAAAACAAGTTTACACACCCCAGAATTCCCACTAAAGGTACGAAGTATTGGCTACTCATTAGTCTCATGTTTAATTAGCTTCAGCCATCCAATAATGGATCAAAATCAGCACCAAATGACTTAGGGCCAGATAGGTACTTAATCCTCATTTGTTTCAATGGGAGCTAGACACAAATACCTTTAAGGACCGCTGCGGCAACAACATATGCACAGTATAAATAGCCAACAGTGAATAACTCTACAGTGCCTTTTTGGGGACCGTGAGTATGTTTTGCAAGCCGCAGGCTAGAGGGAAATACTGAGATGGTTTGAGGATCTGAGAGCCAGACCCTGAATCAGGTTTCAATCATTATGTTGCTGGTATAATTGTTAAATGGAGGCATTTTACATAAACACTCTGCTTCATCAAGAGGACTACACTCAAACCAAGCAGTCCATAACCTGAAAATGATTCACACAAAACCATCCAGAAAATATTTATGAACAATACATTGATACGTTTGGAAAGAGGGCCTTTTTGCAATGCATTCAGCAACAAAAAGAGGGGCTACATTATTAAGACAGATTATGTGCATAGAATACAGCAAAACAGGACTACAAAACATCCTAATAATAGCTACAGGCAAATGAGTTCTCTCTACTCGACTAGGCTCTCACTTGCAAAAGCCCTGCTGTGAGGGTCCTTCTCATCTCTATATAAGAATACTACAGTCTTTTAACACAGCGGTCCAAAGAACCATAGGCAGAGGGGAATAGAAGATATTCTACCTTAGAGCCCATTCAATGGGAATCTGCCATCATCCTAGATTTCCTTGTATCGGGTACGTCACAGGAAGACTAACACCTGGTTTGGATTCTGCCATGCTATTTCAGGGATGCTTTTCTGACCAGCATCTAACATAGGGGTGGGCAAAATGCAGCCTGGGGACCGGAAGCGGCCTGCCAGGCCATTCTATCCGGCCTGTGCGGGCCGTAAAAAATTTAGAAAATTAATATTTATCTGCCTTGGGCTGCCTGTTATATGGCCCTTGATGGCTTGCCACAACTCAGTACGTTTTGCCCAAAATAACTGCCCGCCCCTGAAACCTATACTAAGACTTTTGCCAATGTAGCTATGCCAGTTAGCTTTTAAGTGTAGGCCTAGACTAAATAAGCATAGTTGAACTTTTGCCTTTTTAATTTGCACATCAAAGGGGCATAAATAGGAAAGTGGGGGCGAAGAAGAGAGCAAAAGGCATATGAAGGTCTGCATGGAAGTAGGCCAAGTGCCTGCTTTTCCCCAAGTGCGCTCATACTAATTACTCTAACATCAGTGAAGACACATAAATGCTTCCCTCCATCCACTCACATGCAGGTATACCCTAGGGACTCTGGCTGTCCCACAGACTAACTGATCATCACCTCTGCAGTGTTTGGCCAAGGTGTCCCAAAAAGTTTTTATGCTCTGGGCAGTGGCAGTAGTTGGGGCAATATTACTGGCAATATTACTCCCCTTCTAAGTCAGTGCCCAGGTCTGGTACCTCACTTGGCCCCCCCACCCCCTGGTTATGCTCCTGGTGTTTGGGGGCAGCCCTCATAGCATTTTGAATGTTAAAGAGCAGCTCCGCTAGGAAAGCCGGCATTCCCATAACTGCTTCAGATGAGCCTTTCCCCTGCGGTTTAATTTTAATCTCCCAAGCAAGCCAGTCCATCCTCCACTTCAAACAGTCCCTTTCTGTACTTTATCATGTCATGCTTTCATCTCTAAATTAGCACATTTCTAAGACAAACTTGTCAAGAAACATCATCAATTTAATTAATAGGGGGGATTTTTTCCCCCTTTTCTTTTTAATCATACCCTTTCAGTTAAAAGGAAAAAAAAAAAATCTGTTAAAAGCATCTGTTTGCAGGAGGTCCAGATAAGGAGATGCCAAATATTATTCCTTGAAGCTTAACCAAACTAACATTTTCTTTACTCTAAATGATTATTTGCAACTTTCTGCTTTGTCCAGTGGCTACACTGTTTTGCCTTATTTATAAATACAGGAGTTAAAAAACTTCAAACTAAGGTCCATACTCATTAAAAAGTACATATAAATATGGGATTAGGCAGCTCAGCTCATGTCTTTCCTTGAGCATTACTGTCATTAATCTATTTTTTTAATGGAATAATTAACAGTATGCTCATTTCAAAGGCAAACCTAAGGCACACATCTTATTTAAACACCAGCTAGTAGAGAATCTGAAGGTCTCTGAATGCCTTAAGCTGGCAACGCATTCATCTAGAGGCATAGTATAATGATCTGCAGATATATGCAACCTGCTGTCTCCGGAGGCATTATTTAGCAGCAAATATGCTGCATCAGGGAACTGAAATGCTGACCTTTGGCTGCAAAAGCCTACACTTTTTGGGAAACCAAGAAGTTATTTCTGGCTCAGCCAGATATAGAGCTGGCTGAAAGAACTTTTCTTCCTTCCTTTCCCTTCCTTCCATAGCCCATGAAAAAAGTTCAAATGAAATGGTTTCATTTGAGATGGCAAAAGAACAGATTAAACTAATTCTGCTACTTGGTCACTCTCCAAAAAAATCCTTAACTTTGGAACAGATCCTGTATCAAAAAGAAGCATGGTTTATTTATCCTTTTGTCACTGGGGAGGTTTTACAACATTCAATGAGCTTGGAGAAAAGTGACAGGAAAAAGGGAAGAATAAAAAAGGAAAAAAAAATGTGACCGAAAACCGTACACTTGATGTTATGAGCAAAAAAGAAAGAAAATACCAAAAAATGAAAAAAAAAAAAAAGGACAAATGGACAATGACAATTGGATATGCCGAGTTCTTTTACTTTTTAAATTAAATTTTTTCAGTTAGAAACAAACAAAGATGGCTTCATTTATGAAGCCTTCATTAAAAAAAAAAAATAGTTGCTTTTGACAAAATCCCATTTTTGGTGGGACAATCGTCCTGTGGAAAAGGTTTGCTCAATTTTAACTACACATGGAAACATATAAGGAGCAAGAGATAACCTGATATGTGAACTAGAGAAAAGTCAAATACTCTTGAAGACTGAGAGCAAATTTAGGTCTGACGGAGAAGTGATTGAAGTTGTGTTCAGTTTGGGTGCCAAGTACTGTTTTTCCTCGACAGAAGAAGGCCATAAGGATGTTAATCCACTGGGAGGGAGGAAAGAATATCTTCAAAAACTGTACCTTGAGCATACACTACAGGTAACCACTGCACAGTGCCTAGTAGAGATACCTTCATAAATGGCTAAGAAATAAGCTTAGCAATTTGAATGCATTTGTTACCTACAGTAATTGATAAGAACCCACTTATAAGGTACCTCTTTACAGGTCCAGATTTACCATCTTTCTACAAACTCTGGTAGTACCAAACAACTCACACATCGTTCTCATCAGAAATGTGGATTCATTTAAACTGAACTGATTCAGAGTGAAGGAATCAGTCCTGTGCCGCATCAAGATTTCTAGACAATAATTTCCCAGTGTCCCTTGCATTACGCCCGTAAGCTGGATCCTATATCAGGACCTTTGTGAGGTGCAGGAGTGCACTTTAATTTTGAAAAGCAACTCATGGGTGGGACGAGCCTCTATATAACACATGCCAAGATGACAGCACAGGTCGGCAGTCCTTTCCATGATACTTTAATGCAAGCCAGGATGTAGGCAACCCTTTGGGGTATCACTACCCTTTTCGGGTATCGTCTTAGCCTTGAAGCTGGAGAACTAGGCAGAGTTTACAGGGGCTCTCTGAAACATCTGGACTCGAGACGTCTGTTGGCCTGGCAGGCCAAAAGGTCCCATCCTTGCCCAGTTTATCTAAGCTAACAGAAGCTCCCAGTGTAGACATAGTTTTAGTGTATTTTCACCAGGGTAGCTCATCGTGCTCCAGGTAGT